GGGGGGCAGAGGAGGAAGGGCTACTGCTGTCCTCCATTAGAGCGGGAAGTCTTATATCAATTTAAAGGTGCTACATTCAATATTCAGAGCATACATAGATATAGCGGCAAACAACTATTTGCCATGTAAAGATATAGTAGCGTAATCACCTGAGCAGAGAATGAGGTTGCACTCGTGTGTGTTGTTATCCAAGCTTCTCCTTGCTTTGTTGACACAGCCGGGCTGGCTGCGAGTGCCTTTAGTGCATATTCGTACATGTGAGCGTGCCCTACGGGTTAGCTCACGGCCGCCAGGTGTGCACTGGTCTCATATAGTGGTTTACAACTGATAATGCCGTCCCGACTAACTGCGTCGTTGGGAAGCGTAGCAACCACCCTCCGGTTCCCCCTCAAGTAAACACTGTTAGCTCTGTCAGCACTTTCGGTTTTGTTTGCACTGTTAGAACTGTTAAAACCCTTGAGCCCTATGACTCGCCGTCGCCATGTTGTGAGACGTTGAGAGGCAATCGAATTGCTCCCAATCCCCGTATGTTGCACCTTTGAACCTTTAATGTAATACATTTTTTATTGCTAATCTGTGATTGGCCAAAATCCCTTTCTTAGGTCGTTACCAATCAACAACCATGATACTATATTGACATTGCATTGGTCCAATGATGAGCTTCACATTTCATCTTCAATACCCTACCATTGTATTGTGGGCAGTAAAGTGACAAATGCATAACGTAGCGTAGCATATATTATAACGTGTATATTGTGAACTACTTTTAAACACGTATTTTACTTTCTTCCGATATACATTTTCCTTTTTTTATTGAGCAGTAGCTACTTGCATTAGCCAACGCAACAGTTAGTTTGTTGTAGCAGCTCATGTCTCTTTAAATCATGCCCTTGGTCTGAATGATCTGTTTGTCCTGCTCTCTTTTCCCAGCACCTTGTTAAGACCCAAGACCTCACCTCAACCATCCTCAACCAACACACACACACACACACACACACACACACACACACACACACACACACACCAGGCTGCCTGTCCCCTGTTCAACCCCCTCACAGTCAGAGGCCAGACAGGGTCGAGCAGAGGGCGAGACATTTATGAGGTGCAGATATTTGTACAGGGAAGCATTCCCCCTGTTGACACTGAGCAACACAGTCTGGATGCTGAGCGAGCTGAACCAGACCGGCACTGAAAAATTAGGCAGGCAGACCAGTCTGTCAAGTGAGAGGTAACATAATACAGTTTACAGTCTTTAAAATGTCGTCCAAATGAGGAAAGCATTAGACAACCTCTGTGCATTGACTTGTTTTAGTGACCTTATCTTTCCTGCGGATACAGCATGTTTGCTTGGCTTAATTCAAAGTGTGTAATTTGTCAGAAATATCTTGAGTACAACCTAAATTGTGCTCATTAGATCCCTGATGAATACTTTCTTGGCCGTCTTTATCTTAGCACAGAGGAGTAATGAAGCAAAACCTTCTCAAAACATGAGAATCACCCTGAGTCTCCCACACACCCACTCTTAACCTGATCTTCAATTCCAGTGGTGAGGAGAATTCCTCCTACCTCCATGCTGATGATGAAGGAAGGGCCACGGCCTAGAAACGGGGCAGTGGCCATAGACAACACAAAAGGTTGTGGTGGTAAACAGAGCTGTTTATATTCACTGGGCCGCTGTTGGAATGACTGATGTGCCCATTAGCCCCTGTCTGGGCATTAGGGGGAAGGGTGGCGTTACTCAGGCTCATTGCACAACAAAAAGACCCCCGGGCCTGCAGAGAAAGGTCACTGACCCATATTGTGTCTCCTTTAGGCCCAGCCAGTGGTTATTTCACTGATTCAGGTTACAGAGATTGGCTTCGTCAAAGCTGATGAGCACGTATATGCAAATAAATGCTGACAATTAAGGATGATGTTGTGGGATAGTGGAACATACCTGCTGCTCCAGGCTCTGAATGGAGAAGGATTCATGGTGATGCTGGCATTTTGTAAGCTATTGTAGACAAAAACAAAACAGACTACTACACTGTGTCTTTGAATAAAAATAGAAAAATAAGGTGTTCTAGTCTACAAGCTCATTGTGTGTAATGTAGTGTGCTTTGACTTCCACTAGAGTGCCCTCCTTTACATCTATTCATTTAAGAGATGTGAAAATGCATATATATATATATATATATATATATATATATATATATATATATATA